CCTGTCGAGCGACTGCGGTGTTTCTTTATCGAAGTGATTTTGAAAATACAAGTGAACATTTTCCATTAGTTATACATCGGACAATGAACATGTTTTCCTCGATCACTACACCTGAAAAGACTTCTTTGGCTCAGGTACTAGAAATAATGACTTAATAGTACGGGATGATGTCAAATTGTGTGAACCTTTTGGTTCGTCTAGCTCATTCACTTTGATTTCAGCTAGGTTTTAAGCTTACTTTTCCCGAGGTTTCAAATATCGACGAATTTGTTGACTTGCAATCATTCCTGATGTCTKGGTTTTAGCCATTAAAATAGACGAAGTAGGTCAAAAGCAAATCTTGTCTTGATGCAGAGGAAGTCAATTTTCAAGCAATCTTTACTCGCATGATGTACAAAACTAGTATTAACTAGCTCAAAGTACCTGATATACCTCTAAAACTATTTTCCTTTCCACGAGTAAACCACGAAAGCTTGTTTTTTAAAGGGAATACTAAATAGGTAGCGAGCTTGAGCTGGGTAATGTTCTTGTCATTGATATCAAGGTGAAGTCCAGAGTGTGCCCGCTTTGACGCATATTGCAAACGAAGAATAAAATAAGCATATTGAACAACTTGATCTTACAGAAAAGCATATAGCGCTTCGCGCGGGCCTTAGTGCAATATATAAAAGAAAAAAAACATAAAAGAGTAAGTAAGGGCTTTTCCTTATTTAGCCGCTCTTGGTATGGAGGACGGACGAATCGCTAACGATCAACTCAGCGCATCTWCASAATACATCRRCGRTCAATTACCAGCATGGAAGGGTCGACTGAACAACCCAACTTCAGCTTGGGCAGCAATTAACTCCCACCCCGGACATTGGTTTCAAATAAAATTTGACGTAGCGCACGCCATAGTTGCCATAGCAACACAGGGAGCTCCTCATGAATATCAATGGGTGAAGACCTACACAGTCCGGTACAGCAATGATGGAGTCACCTTTGCTGGCTACAATAATTCTCAAGTGTTCGTTGGTAACAATGACAGGAATACTGTGGTCAGAAACAAACTGAATCTGACGGCTAAGTTTGTTAGAGTTTATCCAATGACTTGTCAGACGTTTGTTACCATGAGGCTTGAGTTATATGGCTGTACGCTATAGCATGGCTTTCAATTCTGTTGTGCCGCTCAGCCTTTTATTGTACATGTTGCACTAAGTCCCGCGCTATACGACGAACTTCGCATGTGCCGAATACAATTCACGAATTAAATGCATATTAGATGCGGCGTATAAATCAATTAAATTCGACAATATTGGATTAAATACGACTTCAGTCGAATCTACGAATTAAAGAGTAGACGATACGCCCATGGTGCGACAGTTGATTTTTACGCTGTATCTCACATGTGCCGAATGCAATGCATACATTGTTTTTTAAATAACATGAATTAAAGGTTATCCACCAATCTCGTTGCCACGGCTCTTCAGACATGATAGGGGTACTCAGGGGGTCTAAGGCATGGCTCTCGGAAAAATATCGAATAATCGATCAATTTATTGTATAAAATTAGTCTTATAATAGAACTTCATCAAAATTGCAGACTATTAGGATTTTGGAAATTCAATTTCTTTTAGAGAGTTTGTTGCTATGGAAACCAAATCACGTGACAATATAGCCGCCATCTTGGATTTTTTATAAAAGGGTCTTGAAAACGTGTACAGTCAAGTTGAAACATCATGAAAACAAGTATGAATGTTCTTATTGATAATGTGCATATCGCTCCAACTGGATATCGTGGTTTTGACAACTCAACAAAATGATTTTTATAGTTTTGTGTTTATAAAAATATCAAAAAAATCATAAATAATCAAAAACATATTTGTCCCACGATATCCAGTTGGAACCATGTAGACATTATTAATTCAAACATTTTTACTTGTTTTCATCACGTTTCAACTTGCTTGTATTCTTTTTCTAAGGCCTTTTTAAAAAAATCCAAGATGGCGACTATATGGTCACGTGATTTG